TATCTTTTATCATATATGCATATATGTACTTTGTTGCAATAGTATAAATTACCAAATTACTTAAATATCAGCGATATATAAATGATAGGATAATTAATCTGAGAAGTTTTCCAATTAGACTGGTTTTAATATTTAAGCCTGCTTTGATAACCTTATTGTTTCACAAATGTTCAGATAAATATATTTTTCTCATCTAGTTTTGTATTATATGAATTATATATATGTTTAATATGAATTTATTTAAAGATGTATAATGTTGGCCCATTTCTTCGTAATTTTTTAAAAAAATTTTAGTATTAATAACTGTTGCAAATATAGATTCTCTGTTAAAAATATATTAGCTATTATATAATATATACTTTATATATATAAAAGAACTATAAAAGAGGTTTAATTTTGTTTCATATATATATGCATACATATTGAATAATAATCTCTATCAATTTGTATAGTCAAACACACACAGTTTGATTTACATGATGCACTTATAAATATTTATGGTCTTCTTGCACTTCAATTCAAAATTATAAGATGTTTACCATTATAGTATAATAATGAATAAATAAAATTTAATATTAATCGCCTAATAATTTTAAGCGTTCTTTTCTTTATATATGGAACATTACAGAAAAGAAAAATTTTCTAGAAATATATAAAATATCAGTATTTATACATTGCATATACATGTATGATTATGAATATTTTTGTGAATCTTTATTTGAACCATTGTAAGCAAAATCGATGGCATTGTATACTCGATTATATAATAAATATGTGCAAATTATAAGTATCAGAGATATTCTTTAATTAAAATATATATATATATACATATATTACATGATTTGACAATTTACTTCAGAACCGTCCACCGTTTTACATGTTTGTTAAATATAGGAAGGACGTTTTCAAACCTCCGTTAGTGACAACGAACTTTTGATTCGTAAAAGACGACGGCACACGCCAGACAGGTGACAGGCCTCCTTTCCTTTCCGCGATGATGAAGCAAGCGAGATTTTGTCAGTAATCGTCTTGCAGTAATGAAGCATTGACAACGTAACGACGACAGACGATAAACGATGTTAATCGAGATTGGCATAAAAACGTCACGTGTTCTTATTCACCTCGACAGGAGATTCAGGCTGTTAAAGCTCAATTTTTTTTTTTTTTGACGAACGAGGTACCGTTAACCGTATCGCTTCTTCTCCCTCCGCCAAGCTTCACCTTTCGAAATTTCTTATATCCGTATCATTATGGCTGATGCCGTTCAGCCGATTGGCTGCGTTTCATAATGCGACGAGAATGTCTGTAGGTTTTCTTTTTACAAGGCACCCTCGTCTCGGATGATGAGATGCATTTACATTTCTATATTCTTTTATTACTGAGATATTTTCTCTTGCTTCGTTTCCCACAAGACGAAAGATTACGCCGTTTCGCGACAGACGTCTGTTTGTTCCTTTGTATCGATATATACATTGGTTATCTATCTTGCATTGCAAGGTAATTTAATTAAACCACGTGGCGTAAGTGAGCTGTCATTAGCGGGCGCGTGGATCGCACAATATTTTTATGTAAACTGCACCTTGATAAGGCATTTCCTATGATGAAAAAAATGTTAATACCTCGTTTAATAGATGATTAGGCTAGGTAAAGCATGGTAATTTCTGATTTTATAGCCGTAGATCCGAGATTTGTTCGTGCCTGCTGGCGGTATCGAAGAAGAATGTAATCATTTCTGTGTAAATGTTATCCTGAAGAATATAATTTATAGATAAATACCGTCGAGGTACACGTAGAAATTAATATGAAATACTACCCGCCATTTATATGTATATAATATATTATAAGTCACACAAGAATCAGCTGCATATTTTTTTACATCTCGAAGCGAAGATATTGAACGAGGATAATGTTTCATCATTGAGTCAATGAGCCAACAATTACATTTAAGTACAATAACTAACTTAATAATAAATAACCTTACGACGAAAAAAATACTCTATCTCTAAAGATTTTTTCATTTGAGAAGCTTGCAATAAGCATATTACTATTAGTAATTTAAATAATATTTCTCGTATTTAAGAAAATTGTAGCCATAATTAAGCAATTTTCTATGATTACTATCGCAAATTAAAATAATGGAATCTCTACTTCTTTCTTTTTCTTTCTCCTTTCTTCTTAATACCATCTTATCGCGGCGTGCGTAAGCTTTGAAAGTATTGACGCATCCTGGAGGAAAGGTCAGGATCACTATTCGACCCTCAGTCTCGCGTGTTCAGGGAAGCGCTTCTTCGTACAAATGATGACAGGTGCGAGAATCGACTATTATCTTCGCTTCCTCGCGTGATAGCATCCGTGGGAGACTGAAAATTACGTCACTTTCCATTTTACACCATTTCTATTAACCTACCTTGATGAGCTGCAAAACGAGTCGTTTCTTCGGTAATGAGTAATACTTTATTCATTTTTTCGAAGTAAGCATCAGTTGATCGTATTGATATAGATTGATTTGCAAGCAGGAGTTTCTAGCTCATTAAAACAATTGTTTACGTAGCATTCAATTTTTTCTCTTATTATATATATTCAAATATTTTATAAAATAAAATTATTGTATGTATATAATTATATATATATATCTTTTATTGTGGTTGTTTATTAATTTAATATTATAATGATCGAACAATGTGAAGAAAATGAACATAAAAAACGATAAGATATTGTTTGTTAAGGAAATTTGATAAGGCAAAAATACATTTTATATCATTGAATAATCTATTATAATATACGAGAGTCTAACATTTTATGATAATCTTAATTTACAGTCAAAATTTTCAAACTAAGATATAGCTTCTATAATGCTCCTAGATAGAAAAAAAAAATAGAAACTATGTCATTTTCTATTTTGCGTTGTAATAGTCGCTTAATCATAATTTATCATAGTTGATCGCCATCCCTTTTCCGCTTGATCGAGTCAGGGTAGGGAAGATAATGCGTATAGCCATGTAGACGTGTGCATATATTGTCAGATATACATACGGTGTGTGATCTCGTGTATTAAATTTATTTGTCTATTAAATATATTTTTCTGATTTACTAGCTCGCGCTAATGCATGTCAATAATAGATTTTAGGATTTTACTATGCAATCACATTTTCAACGACAAAGTATAAAATATTATTATACAAGAAAAAAATTCGAGGGAAAAGATGAAAAGGTTCATATATACTACATTGTACAGATAATATTTTTATATTGTCATATAATTATGCATAAAATGATCGAAACAATTTTTTTGCGTTATATAAAATATAGAATAAATGTATTAAATTTGTGTTATATATAAATGATAAAATAAAACTGCAGAATATCGAATAAATACATCACAAAAAACGCATAACTGCAATAATAAAGAAAAAGATATAATTTTTAGCATCACAAGCATGTAATAAGTGATTTGTTTCGAAACTATTGATACTCAGGATTAAAATGGAATCGCAGTCGCACGATTGATTCGACATGGCGTGTTAACATCGAAGCGAGTGCGAATGATTGTTAGTCCGCGCTCGCGTTCACCGATTCTCATGCAGCTCATGTGTGTTACGACGCGACTAGATCAATTGCAATTCTGCCAAGCAGGATGGCTCTATTGTAATATAGGCCGAATGGGATTATCGACGAAGGTCGCCGATTTTATATCTGCAAAGATCTACCGATCTAATATTTTCCATTCGATACTTTTCGACATGCTCTTACCAATTTTTTTTTTCCTTAACATCGTAAACGTCGTTTCTCATGTCACGTCCATCTTCGAAAACCTTGCAACGATGACCTCGATCTTTCTCGTAACGTTCATAAAGTAGCACGCGCAAGACGATCGAATAGACAGTTATTGCATGCAGATCGGCACGAAATTCCCGTTTAGAGTCGTCGGAATCGTCGTTTGTGCGTATGCAAATGTTCCACCTGCGGTGGAAATGTTTTTCCACCAAGCATCAAGGGAACGAGCGAAAAGGAGAAAGCTCATCGACGTCGTCGCTCGTACATTGCACCGCGGTACCAACGGGCTTTTCTATGCAGATTCCAGTCGTACGCGATGCAACCGGTTCCTTTTACGATCCCCCGAGACTCCCGGGGGATTAAATTAAAGCCTGGTCGTGTGCTCTCTAATCGCCGGCAATCTTGAGTCACACGGTATCGAGTCGTAGAAAACGCGGCGATATTTCATCCCGTCCAATTGCCATCGTTATTACGATTATTGCCGATGCTGGACGGACAGTAACAGGTGATTTCGTGTAAGGGACTAGACCTGCTCTCTTAATGAAGCACATACGTCACTTGATGTATTCCGTATTTTATGTAGACATGCATCGTACTGTGCTAAAATAGAACCGTGTCCAACACTACGCCATTAATACCCAACTACGGCAATTATTATAAATTTAGATAGTATAACTATTATTATGAGAAGTTCCAATATTTGACCTCAGTAAATAAATTAGATTATAACTTACTTAGAGAGCATCGGCTTTAAAAAAACTTTAATTAAATTCAAATATCACAGCAAACATCAATTTTATCTTTTATTATTTGTCCCTAAATATAAGAAATAATTGTATATAAAATAAAGATACTTGATATTGCTCGGTTCAAAAAATAATTAAATACATATTTTATATGTGTATATATAAAGATAATATATGTAGTAGATAATTAAATATATATATTGATTTGATATATATAAATACATGGGGATTCAATTTAAAAATATTCAATTTAAAAATATTTTTGATAATTTATAAAATATCTGCATTTTTTAGAAAAAATATATTTCGTACAGATTTTATTCCATGTTAATGTATAAAGGAAATCATGTCTATTGATATTGTTTCTTGATTTCATGGTCACACGTATGATGATAAGATGAGTTTCTAAATGTTAGATGGTATTATTTTCGAATCAATACTGACGAAGCGGATCGAACATGACTCAACGCACGAGCGCAAAGGTTAATGGCGATTACACACATTATCTTTTATTTTGTATTTTGAATGAAATTAGACGACTTACTTTGTCCATTCACCTGGCCGACATAATTTACGGTAACACTATTTAATCGATAGCATTAATGTATCCTATCGTTACAAAAAATAAGAGAACGAAATACTAGATTAAGTTACGCATTATAACAGACAGTGATTAATGTTTGAAATGGTCGGATATATTTGCTTTACAACACTGTGTAGTTTATTAAAAGCAATAAGAAATTAGATAAATTCTGTCGGTAAATATCTCTCACGATATATTCATGAAATATTTGTGTGCAAAGCAAAGAGTCTTATATTTATATGTGATAATGCGCGATCTAATTGACAACAATATAAATTCGCGATTATTTTATTAATACATCTTTTTTTTATATTTTAAGCGACAGATCAATTATTTTGATAACCTATGATCTTTTTTTTTGTCGTTTAATAACTTATTATTTATTATATAATAAAAATATCGTGATTTCTCTTTTATGTTAATATATATATGTTTCAAGATTACAAAAATTATATTTTAATATTTTCTTTAATATTTTCTCTCTGTAGTCGCCCGAATCCGGTTTTTGCCGTATCGACCTTCTTATCAATCTCGATGAATTAGCTAGTAGATTGAGTTATAATTAGAGATTGTTATTAACCTGTCATGATCATTTTTAATGATAAATTAACGATGCTTTGACGTTTTAATATAACAGATGATTTGAGGCGGAATAAATTATTGATTGAATCTACATTCTCATTTCATTATATAGATCAATAGGTTCTGATTAGTATCATTATCTGATCAATAAGTTTATACAATATATTATTTTTGATGAATAACTATTTATTGGTTTTCAGTAATTAACATGTGATTGATTATATAAATATAGAATAATTTTTTGCTGTGTATCTGTTATATCTATCTTTTAATTACAATATTGGCGCTGATGCAGTATAAAAGCGCGTATGAAAAAACATATGATGCACTAACATTTTTGTTTCATCTTATTATTATACAAATATGACAAGACATTTAGAATCAGAAATACAATTGCATGTCGCTTGATGAGATCCCCTTGTATTATCTAAATACGATATCTTCAATACCCCGTAGTATCTAATAATAAGATGCGCACTGAAAATGGCATGCACATGCGAATTTCTGGCGCTCCTGGAGTGCTCGTCGAGGAATCGAGACATGGAGAGATACTTCACTCGTCCGAGTGAGTTTTTATGATCTGCTGCTGGTATGCCCAGTTTTTCCCAGCAGTAAAACGACTCGTCGCGACAAAGTCCACGAGTTTGCCGGTCAATGACCAGAAAATACGCACGAATGTGCCAACATTTTATATTAGAAGAAGAAACCTGAGCGTCTTGTCTCTACGACGGCACGATCGATTGGACTCGATGAGCATTCGATGACCCGCAGACCCACATTTTCTTCGGAGACCGGCATCATTTTACACACACATACATATAATCCATTTATTTTACAATTTAGTTATTAGATAGAGTTTTAATATTTTAATGGAAATTGCAATTGTATAGAAAGTTTATGAATAATAGATTTTTCTTTTAGTTCAAGCGGATGTGTTTGTGTTTAATATACATCGTGTAAAATGACATAAATGACATAAAAATAGTGCGGTTCTTTAATATTGCAAATAACAGACATTTGATTTGAAATGTTTATTTTTTTATTACTATTCTTCTTTTATATACTTATTTCCATTGCTTGTTTTTTTTTTTTGCTGTATCAAACTTTTCTTGTGGCAGATCTTGACCTTAATTTTAATAATAATCCTTTCTAATATAGAATCTTGGAGAATAGTTAATCGTGGGTAAGATGTAGATAAAGAAAATTCTAAAGAATATAAGACGCGCGCGATCCGTAATTGTTGTTAGCTACGACCGTGAAATCGATAGGAAAAAATGACAAGTTGTGACGCGCGTGACAAATTAGCGAATAAATCACTTTAATCATGAAAAGCGAATTGTCCTCGTCGCTCGGAATGCGATATCCTTACTCTTAGCGATTAATCATAAGGTCGCGCCGATAAAATCACCGAATCATCAATACGGATTCGGAGCATTGGCTTGCTCGACGAATCCGCTGCCGTCAAACACCGGTTTCCCAACAATCCATTCCGCGTCGGTATATCCTCTTTTTTTCTTTGTCCAGCGCGGAAAGGTGATGAGAGGAATATCGAAACTTTACCGTTACAAGTTCACCCGACGTTCTCGCGCCGTAATTACTGTTGCCATTCGCCGTTGCAGACAGTCGGGCCGACGCGTCGTTGAAATGGTTCCGCACGGATGCTGCGATACCGCTCTCGTATACCGGTCGTATTTATAGAGAGGCCAGTTATATAGAAGGTTGTGGCGCCTAGATCCGGATAGAAATACGAGTGAGTTACTTATAACGCCGATCTCGCGAAACAAGAAAAAAGCGGAAAATAGACGAGTAAGATTACAACGCCGTCGTCGCCGTCGTCGCTGTCGGTTGCGATGGTGTTCCAATGAATTACAACGGACCGATAATGCGGAACAGGTTCCGCGTGATAAGATGGGATGAATTCAACCACGCATTACGGCACGCGAAATGTTAGGAAAATGATACTTTATCGCTCGCTCACGATTGGTGAATTCTTTTCTCACGCGTTTTACGAGTCTTTTACCCTACTGCAAATTTGATTTTGATTTAAAAAATATCCATTCGGATATTTTTTAAAGCTGAATCGTGATAATGTTAAAATATTGTGTAGCGTAAATATAGATAAGAAGTTAATAGTTAATGAAATAATGAGGCATGAAGGTTCTTCTGTGAGAAAATTTTCCGGCTTTGCGGATTTACGAATTAATAAAAAAAAAATAATAATAATAATGATAGTGTACATGTGCACATAGATGACGGGTTATTATCTTGTTATCGTAAATGGAATTTTATCAAGAAGCATAAGAATTAATGGATCATTAAAACTACGAGAAAAATACAGGTCCAATACGCAGCGCTTCTTTTGAAGATTCATGAATAATTAATCACCAACTCATAATTATCTCTAGGAATACGTTTACATCCGATTAACGGCGAATAAATCGTACGTTCTCTGTTAGAGCCAAACTTGTTTTATTTACTTGCAGCTAACACGCGCCAATACAAGTGTGTGTTGTATAAACGAATGCGTTATATTACAAATATGTTGGGAGTATTATTGAGTGTTATAGTGTTCGTTCGAGATTTGTTTGCGAAGTATTTGAAAAATTTTATATACTGTAGACGGATATTGAAGATGAAGGCAGCATAAATCATTAATGGCAATACGTTTATGTGATTATGCATGTTCTGCTCATTTTTTCCCCCTAAACAAAAAATAGCGTTTTAACTGGTGTAAATATGAACTATCGATAATATATAAAACAATCATCTTAGATATAATACTCACCAACTTCCAGAAGAAGATTGCGCCGAAGCAGAAGCAGAAGATTGGGAATACGAACCACCGCCGCCACCACCACCACTAAAGATACAAAAAATTTTATAAAAATTAGTAAAAAGGATCGAGAGAAAGAGAATGGATGTAAAATACAGTGACTTTTAAACATATATCTTATCGAGATTGTCTTAATCGGATTAATCTATCACTGTATTTAAGAAACAATATTATATCAATACCCGCAAGTACTACAGCCGCCCCCTCCGCCTCCGCTTGGATAATAATTTCCTTGGCCACCTCTACGATAATGGCCTCCGCCTCCTGTAATAGGTACGACTACAACCGGTATAACTGCTATACGGTGCCCTAAACAAAGCATCCCCTTCTTATGCGTGATACAATGGAGTTTAGCAATAGCAATGTGTTAAAATATATATGACGATGAGATTTTAAATGTTATATTTTTGTTGATTTTGTTATATCTGATTTGCAAATTTCAGCTGAGAAATGTCAAGCGAGCAGAAAATGTATTATTATTAATTAGTATCTTATTATTATTAGTATTTTTCTTATTTGTATATAAGTATGATTTTTTAATTTTTTTTTTAATTAGGAAAAGGTAATAATTGTTCAAGCAATTTTTGTTATTTTTAATAATTCCGCCAAACATTCTAAATTTTTTTATTTGTATTCAATCGTTATCTTTAAATGAGTTTCTTCACAATATATGCAAACATGCACAATTTATATAACTTATTTTTGTACTTATCACATGCAAAAATATAAGAGATTATACAACTAGCTGTCAAATTTGAAAAATCTAGAAAGAAACCAGCGAGATCAAAGATGTATTTCAATTCCTAGAAATATGCAAAGTAAATAGTTTGTTTTCGCAATAGCCAATGCAATATATTGATGCAAATTCTTGATAATTATTATTGCCGATATGTGACGTAGTTACGTAGGCAAAAGATCCGCGTATATTATAGTTAGAATAATCTTATCATACAGAGTACCTCAGAAAACCGTCGGATTTCGTTTTAACCGCAGCTATTTTGATCAATACATGGAAACACTTTTTTTTTTTAAATGAAACTCGAAAGAAATCATCATTTGTTATATTTCTTTGATTTTGAAAATTGAGATTTTATTGAAATAAACTTTAGACCGATTGAAAAATAAAATTGTCTATTTTTTCTGGAGCTTAATTCTTTCTCTTTTTTCCAGAAGGGTTATATTTTTAGACAATAATTACTAGAAAATTAAAAATGCTACGTCATCTTTATCGAGAAAGGATTAATTCCACATTCGTCAAAAAATTTGTAGTGAAAAGAGTTTGCGGCGCGATTTTAGATATTCTTTGATATAAATAAATTTTATTAATGTTGGTGGATAAATTTGTTTATCAATTTTTATCTACGATTATCTATGATTAGAAATTAACTCACCACCACCACCACCAGAAGGATAACCTCCTCCACCGCAGGTGGGACAGCCTCCACCTCCACCTCCACTTGGATACCCACCTCCGTATCCTCCTCCGTATCCTCCGCCACCTCCACACTTCAAACAGATAGTTCTCTTCTGTCGATCTTTTTTCTCGTGAATCGGCTTTGAAGCCGATTCTATCATACTCTGCGCCTTTGCCTTTTCCAATTTTATTTTGAGCACTTTTGACTTATTGTCCATTTTGATCGTGTCGACCTTGATACCTTCACTTTCCAATTCTGCTGCGAATTCGTCGAGGTCGGCGGGTGAGTGTCTTTCTCTTTCTTCATCATCATCTTCTATTACTAGAAGAACAGTGGCCAACGGTTCTGCAAAGATACATTTTTCATTAAAGATCTTCCTAGGAATTATTTTAATGATATTTACTCTTGCTTATAATTTATTTATTATTTTTATCATGTTATTAAAATATGTAAAAAATTTGTGAAAAAGAAATGTGTTAAAATATGTAAACAAAAATGACGTCAAATTGTCTTTACTATTAAAGAAATCCTGATATATGTATAATTTTATATATATTGTTTATTGATCACATTTACCTAATATGTCAGGAATAGTTTCGATAATTTCATTTTCAAATATTTCCTCTTCCGTATTACCGCTGTTATTTTTTACAGCGTACAAGTTAATTATGTAAACCGTGGCATGGCGTTCCTTCTCTTCAAGCGGCGGCGGCCGTAATTCGGTCGACAACGTGTGTTCTTCATATGTATTCGCCGGGTCTAGCGATCATATTAAAAAATGAATCAATCATTATGTGAACAGAAATAGGTAGATTATGTCGATAGGCACGAAGCATAAAGACTTTTAAATTGATTGCAGTTAGATTTGTTTTCCAGCGCATGTATCCTGACATCACTGTTATTTTCGGAGACATCTTGTCTGCTGCATGCAAAATAAATTACAGAGTTCGCGCAGCTGTCTCTTAGATCTTTCAAAGCGGTATTTAAAATTGCGACGCATAAATAGATAGCTACTGAAGCAATAAAAAAAGTATTAAAAACATTTATTTCTTATATTTTTTATTTAAACAACAAGTAAGGTTCAGTAAAATATTGTGAGAATATATCATGAAAATGTGTATTACTTTTCTTGCTAAAGACTTATCTGCAAAAAATTACGGAATGCAAGATAGTAATTTTATGAATTTATATGGATTGACCCCTAACATATTAATGCATGCAATTTATATATAAATTATTGCAATCATATATACTTTATTTTTATCCCTTCTTTGAAAAATCACAAATTATTTATTTAAATTGCAGTCGAGATTTAATATTTAATAATAGAAATGCATTTGTCATATGTTTAAATAATTAATTATGAACAGAAATAGTTTTACAATGCAGTCGAATTGTACTGTTCAGTCTGCTTAAAAGCTAAAAAAAAAAAATTAAAATACAGCTATGTACTATTTTTTTGACAAAGTATAATATACGTTATACGAAATTAATTTTTATCAAATATATGAATGCAATATTCGGCAACCCTGAAAGGGTCGCGACAAGTGAAAAAAGGAGCACTATTCCAAGAGCACGAACTACCATCGTGAGGGGCGTTCGGTGGATGCACTGCATGCCGATCTTTTAATCTTGCCGCTTTTATAGTCATCGATACGATACGCGTTTGATCCTGATGTAATTATGTAACACTAGCCACCTCCATCGCTTTTTGCACATCTAACGCTGCGCCGCGCCGAGCAACGCTGATTTTTTAAATTTTCCGAGGGAATCCCCGTCATATATATAGTGCATACACGATCGGTCTGAAATACTTCTCTTCGAGACTAAAGTGCGCGAGAACAAAATCAAAGTGAATATTGAATAAGATTGAAAACAAGAAAATCTTGTGTTCTTTATAACTCAATATGTATACAACGTGTATAATTCCTATATACGAATTTATCTAGTGTTGTGTATGATAACGTTATGTCATAATAACATTAAAGAAATTCATCAAAATTCAATTTCTTTCTAATATATCGGCTTTAGAAGGAATATCGAAATAAATATAATTTATTTTACACATCTACACACTATGTGTTTTAAAAATTGATTTAATATCTCCAAAATAAAAATTTTTCAAATACATAAGGCGCAAATACATGCAGACTGTAAGAGTATAAAAAATAATGTTGCGATAGTTTTTGAAAAATCTGTTAAACATATGGTGTCTGTATACATATTTTATAATTATAAATTAGATTTATTGTAATACTACTTAGTATTAGTTTGACTTTGATATAAATTTTCAAAATGAATAGGTTTTAAAAAACACACCAAAAGATAATAAACATATATGTGTTCTATCATTATAGAAAACTTTTTATAAAAATGAGAATACATTTTAAAAAGGAATTATTGCAATACGTAATTGGGATAAAGAAATGTGCAAAAGCCTTTTGCCATAACTCTTTATGTATATTATAAATTTTTGCTTTTTTATTTTAGAGCGTGCGCGACAACAAATCAGAGGAAATTAATAATCAAATAATCAATCACTCTTTATTACGTCTAAGATGTTGCTAAGTGATGAGGAAATGATGGAAACAGTATAAAAAAATAGGAGAGAGAGAAGGATGATTTAGTCTTCATTAAAGAACTAAAATATTTTAATAAATGATTTCCGCGAAATACAAACCGGTGATGTACCGGTTTCGGAATAGCGTTATTATGCATAATAAAGCATACACGCATACTGTTTATGTTCATCAGTTCGTCATTAACCTTAATAATAACTTTTATTATCTATATTTTTTGTTGATTATGTTTTATTATGTTATTTCTATCGTATGCATTCTCTCTGATACGATATCTATATATAATTATTCAAAATACTTATTGCATTATATACTTTGACTAATAGTAGAATGAATTCCCGGCATTGAGGTATATTACTGGAATTAAATAGTTTCCATACGTTAAACATGGAACAATGCTGTTCATCAGGATTTCCTAACTTGAGGATATGTATATATTCAGATAATTAGCGTTGAGAGATCTTCATATTCTTTCACGTCACGTTTAAAGGATCTATGAATCTCGCATACAGAATATATCAAGAATATTATTGTAAAATGCAAATATCTGTCTATTTATAGTATTATTTTGAAATCAATTTTTGAAACAACTTTTTTTCTCCTCTTCCTTTCATTGTGAATTTCTTTTAATTCAAAAATTATTGACTTATTAATTTTGAAACAAGTCTATTTTTATTAATTTACATTAATTCTAATATTTTTTTCTAAAGAGATATATAACTTGTATATTTTATTTTAACTTGACATTGATTTTAATCGTATACGTCGCAGCTGTTAATTCCTGTAATGATCAGCACTGCGGTTTGAAATAACGATCAAGTTGCATATGCAAATCCAGTTAATAATTTCTGCTCGCTTCTCAACGCCGTAAACAGTATTCGTGTGTGTTGCATCCGCCGATCATATTATTGCGCGCCAAGTTTATATATATATGTGAATATAAATTTTTGCATACCCTATCACATCCATCATGTATATATCATTTTGCTTCTTTAAAACAGAATACGAGTTTCCGAGTATTTTAAGTGAATGCATGATGCAATAATATATTAACTAACATTATATCTATTCAAGATGCAATTTACAACAAAAAATTACGCTAATATATGTTTTTATACATGATAATCGTATAATAATGATAATGGATTTCATATTCGATGATAATCGATAATTGTATTTAGCAATTTATATACATATACTTTTTCTCTTTCTCTCTCTCTTTTTTCCACATACATGCAAAATAACAGCTTTGAATCGCAAAATATTATTGATGATTGCATGTCATTCTTATCGGTGATTTCGTCAATGTATACATGCTATGTATGAATTAAATACTTCTTTTAATAATATTTTTTATTTACGTCATCGATAACATGATGTGCGCGTTTGCGGATGGAAATGATTAGATTTACTAAGAAAATGTTACAGCATGCAGATTTGATTTTTTCAGGGGGTTTTCAGAAGGATGGTCCATAATTACTTGCGGCTATAGTTAGTGAGAATATCTGGTGTATCGTATGATCAGTTTACTTGAATTGTGCGTAACTAAAACCACACGAGCCGTCGACAACACATATCACTTTTTTGTCGACTGCAGAAGAATGCGGAGTTCGTTTAGCCTTGACTGATCAAGGTATATCAGATCCAGAAATTACAATCGCTCTCTGATGATGGAGAGCCGTAACGAAAATCCCTTTGGAAGGAGATACCAATTCGACGAAAAGGATCTATTAATTAATTAATACATTATAAATTTCGTAAGCATCTAGCACAATGCGAGATATTCTATTTTTTAAGTATCTATATATTCCCTAATATTTTATATATTTTCTACGCGTATAAAGATTAGCACAATTGATACATATATTTATAATTAAGATATGAGTATATTATAAAGCTCTATAATTAACTTATGAATACAATTCATGTGAAGATAATTTTATATTATTATAATTATTTTTTGCATTATTATTATGTATTAATGCATTATTATTATGTAATTATATCTATATAAATCTATATAATTGCTATGATGTGTAATACGGAAATTTTCCAAAACGGATTTACTTTGAACGAATGAAAAAGCAATGTCAGCATGCTCGTTTATAGATTGTTCTCACGATTCGAATTGATATCGACGATTGCCGGTATACTGATTTAAATGAACATATACAAAAAAAAATCTTGAAAGGCAGACAATTATTAAAATGGTAGACGATGTTGTGTGTACTCACTCATATGAGATTACAATTATCTTATAGCTTAGAAAATTAACTACACGTTAAAATAGCGAGGAAATTTTCTTGCGTTGTTACAACAACTTATTGTTAGACATTCGGCGCGGTTTTAAAAACTTTGCATCAATTCTTAAAAAAAAAGAAGAGGATAAGCAATGCTGATTATCGGTTATTATATTAATATTTAGATCTTATTACGCGCATTACTATGTCATAGCATTATTAGTTTTGGCGCGTATATTATCAAATAAAAAAAAAAAAATCGGTTGATATGTGATAGCCTCAACCTTGTGCCTCTTGAATAAACGTCGGTTCATTCTACGTTAATTGCAGTGTACGAATAATCGAATCTCTCGGATAATCCCCGACCGGTTCCGCGATAATTATTTTCGCCGTAGGTTTTTGTGAGTCAAACTGAGATGATCGGTGAGTCAGAGCCGAGACCTTGAATCGCATGATGTATTTCAGGCTTCTCACAGATTCGCCGTTGATTCGATTACAGGTTCCTCATCGATGACTCTCTGAGATCTCGTATTTCTTAATTTTTTATGTAATAATATTTTTAAAGATAGATATTGAATGATATTCCATTTTGTAGATGAACATTTAACTGCTATTTTATTCGTTTTAGATTTTTTGAGAAGTTTAAATTTTTCTATTTATATATCTCGCAATCGTGAAAAAATAAGCGCAACATTCTTCTAAGAAATCGAACTCATGGAAAGATAGTTGTTATTTATATGTTTTAATGACATATAAATGAAAGAAACAGCATATGCTATCACGTTTGCTACTGTAATCTTATCAAAAATTAGCTTAATCTCGAAATTTTTCTAATCGATAAATAATTTTTCGAGAATTAAATGAGATATATTTATCATTATTAAAAAGGTGATACATTAAGTGACTTTCAGATAAACATTTGACATTTTTAGATTGAACTATACTTGTAGACTTTCAGACAAACTTTTGTCGATTATAGACAAGATCTTTCTGCATTGCATTATTAGTGATATATTATTGTCATTTAGCAGATTTTTTGAACAAGCTACATTTTACTTCTCTGTTGAAAGAATTAAATAATGCTAGATTTTTATTAATATTAATAATATACCAATATATTTCTGGTTATATCAACGAGCATTCTAACTCACATACCATCTGTTGATATTGTTGCTGAAGATTTCTGACGCCGTGGATAGGACAGATTCTCCGGTTATTCCATAAGTTATTCAAACCATCAACTCTTTCAAAGATGTCGCGAGAAGTTCGACATCATATTCTGACCTTCAAGATTCTCCGCATTACTGACCTTCACCTACTTTAAATTTGAGGTAAGTGACGTGATAAACATATAAATAGATATTTATGACAATTGTTATGCTAATTAGTATTTGCACAAAAATCAAGTTCAAAGACCAATCAAACTCACATTTCTTTCGATAAACAAGTTATTTATTATCTAATATTTAGCAAATAGTAACTTCAACGTTTATGTGACGGGCATTTTATAAAATATAAAATATTATGTTATGGATGTAAGCGCAGAAATGTAACAGCTTTATTATTTGTGTGCACATGAATAGAAAATATTTAGAGTCTTCAATATTTCACTTCTACATTTTTTCTTTCTCCGAATATTTTCTAGATAGAAAATGTCACGATAAAAAGTTTATTAAGTTCTTCATAGAAAACTAAAAGTTTAATAAATTATTTTCTTTTGATTCTTTTGATCTTGCATTGTGTGAAGTTTATATCTCATTACAACTTATCTTCTCGCGAATCATTTTCCGGGAAGCACGATGAGGCATACAGAATTTTAAAGTGAGAGGAGGAATACTAAATTACATCATGAATCGCGCGCACGGTAATTATTAACGTAACTCAATTGGTGCTGTCACCTGTAGCCACTTCCGGATACATTTCATCATTTTTGCTACGAAAAATATAAATAGTAACACAAATTGAAGACGAACGGAATAAACTAATTTAAGATAAATTTTTGTAAAAATGAATATGATACAATGTTATTGAAACTTTAAGAAAATATCGATGTCATAAAATCTGAAGTTTTATAATTCATTATTGATGAAAAATATTGCGAAGAAAAGAAGCGTACAAGATATAAATTTAATCGATCGCTTTGTTAAGATTGATTACACAATGAATACCTATAAATAAAATATCTATCATAATATAAAATTCAAACTGATATAAAATAACTTGTATAAATAATAATTTTTTTTTTAACATTTCTTTTCGTTTCCATCATAAAACGTCGAACAATTCGCCAACAGTCTCCGCGAGATCAGATAAAATATCACTATCGGGTTGTCTTCGCTCAGAATCTTTGCTTCCGACGTATTGCAATGGTATAATCTGACTTTGCGCACTCCCACCTTTAGGGAAGAATCCTTCTTCAGATGACGCGATTGCTTGAACGTTGACCCGCGTCACGGAATTCCCACCTTGACGTCCCGAGGTCGATGTACCCTTGGAATTGTCTTCATCGAAAGAACCACTAGAAACATGTTTGGAAGATGCACTTTCCCAACTTTGAGTGTTCCCTGAGGTATATTCCTGACCGATTGACGAGGACATAAAACTCGTAAGATTTAGTTGCCCTGAGAGACCGGATCATCGGCCGAAAAACCGTAAGAGGAAGAGCCTGAACTTACACGAAAACTCGTCGATCCACGTGTTTGATCATTCCAAGAGTCGCGCGGTTGATGTTCGATCGATAGACCTGGCCGGGAAAATATTTGGTGATCAGGTCGCCATTTGTGGATATGAATCGTCGGCTTTTCTTCTCGCCTGGATGAGCCATACACATCGATATCCAATGTCGGTCGTGTTCCATCATACGGTTTCCAAATAGTCAACGTGGGTCGATTGAAACGTTGATCTGAAATATTGAATTTTAAATTTTGAGTGGGGAAATATTAAACTTTAATTTTCAACTACACTACTTCAACAATAAATGTTAAAATTTTTATAATAATATGCAGAAAGTATCTTATAAATAATAATTATCTGGCTTTAAGACAGCGTATTTCCTAATTTTTTATGTATAAATAATTTATATGATAAGAATTCGAGATAATAGAAGAAAAATATTGTAATTGATAATTGCACTTGCCATTGTGCCCATTGTTTGGACCAACATTGTTCCATATCGGTCGATACGGATATTGCGCCCTGACGGCATCAGTTTGCGAGAAGAATTGTCTTCGATTGCCACTAGTTGCAGCAGAGGATTGCGAGGCACCAACGGAAGACGCAGCGCCGGTAATCGCACGTCCATTTTCGACTATTCCGAAAGAAGTTGCGGTTGCTTGATCGAAATTGTGCGAATGGCTTTCGGTTTTGGCATTGCTACCGTCGCTATAAGCTTTCGCGCCTGCCGTAGAGATTCCTGATAATCCTGCGGCAACAGACGTAGATTTACTTACGGAAACGGGAGATCTGAAAAATAACAATTGTCTTTTACATATTTGCTCTTATGACAATGCAGAATCAAAATTATCAGCAAAATACTAAACAAGTAGAGTTGTGCAAATTAGAAACTTGCACATTGCTTCCTCATCATTTTATCTTACAATGCATACATACAGACATTTTTTAGGAATATGATTTTCCGACGTTTTGGAACATTCTAAACACATTGGCATAGAAAACTCGAAAAAAAATTTTGTCACGAAAACAAAGCTTCCTCTATGAGGAAGCAAAAATTACTAAAAATTTCTAACTGAAAATATATTTAACTTCTAATATAATTTCTGAACGATTTATATTTATTTATTATTTTCATTCGCGTTTTTTTAGCGGATATTATAAATAAATTTTAAACTATTTTATACTCACTCATCAATTCCATATTTTGTAGGGTGGTTGTAACTGTTACTTTCCGAGAGGCTAATACCGTCAAGGCTTGCGCCCAGACTGACAGAATGCGCATTGTTGCGCCCCGCGTTTAAACTAACAGTCGCTGTGACAGGGTTGAAGGAGAGGAGACGCGTCTCGGGCTTTTCATCACTCAACGTTTTGACGACCGACTCCGGCGTTAGTTCCGGCGGCGTATTTCGTCGTTGCTCGTGCTCGTCTGTTCAATGAAAAGTGTTTCTTCAAGCGTCTAGAAACCAGGAGATGAAGAGAGAAAGCGTATTCTCTTTTTCTCTCTCTCGTGTATTTTAACAAATTGTTTCTATAATTCGTACAACTCAATTATGAGAAGAAATTGAGATTGAAGAAACAGCATCCTTCTAAATTTCCAAAATGTAACACTTTTATTAGGTAATATATAATAATAAATGCGCGTTTGTGCGATTTTTAATTTGAGTAATTATTTTTCTTTCTCACACAAGTTCTCGTTTTCTATCTTTTTCTCTCTCTCTCTTTTTCTTTCTCTGAAATATTACGGGATCTTGATTATATATCAATTTATAAAATAAAATAGGGAAAACGATATCTTATAACAGATTGCAAAAGTTTTGCATTGCTATATGTTTGAATGGATGACGATATATCGTTGAACAATTTTAACAAACAAATGGCGTTTGTTCATGTATTCGTTTCACATACGGTTGCAATCAGATAAACATTGTTGACTATTCACTTTTCTGCTGATGAATCCTTATTCTGTTAATTACAGTTTCGCTTATTCTACATTGTTACGCAGCTCTATTATTTTTCCTAGAACCATATACGCGGATGTGCGATGAGTGTAAGCACGCTTGGATAAAAACTATATTTACTATGCATTAATTAGAGTTTTGTATATATTAATTTAGCAAAAAACTTATATAACGCCTTAGATAATTTACACAGATTTTGCTTCTTTTCACGCTTTTTGGAAAAAAAGACAATATAAAAATGCTTCATATAATTATACAATAACAATTAAATTTTGGATAAATTTAAAATTTAATGCTTGTATTGCTAAAATTGTGTTAGCTCATTAAAATTATATTATATTAATCTGTTGAGTATGAAATCTTTCGGATATTGAAGTATCATAAAAAGTATAAAAAATAACTTTTTAAGAATCTTGGAATTTTATACTACGCGATTTATATTCGCGTCCGGTGCAGAGATTATAAAAATTCCATCAATATCCTAACGAGAACACATGATATATACATATATATCCACAAGTTTGAAAAGAATATTTTCAACTAATCTGGCACTCGCAATATAACACTCGTCGCACATAAATTCGCTTCTCGAGGTCGTCGATACTGACATGCGCCGCGTGATGTTTATATATTTCTTCAACTTTCAGAGATATTTCTCTCACCTGCTTGTGCAAACGATAGCACGAATGTTAGCAGGAGGATACTACCGACGTTCTTTGCCATGTCTGAAAACGTTCTGACTTGATCGTGGCAACGCTCTGCCCTTTTTTAATAACTATGCACGACCTTAGAATGGTTATTACAATGCAGGACGCGTTCATCTACGTGATACTTCTCAGGTGAATCGTTGGCGCGATGACGCGAATCATAAGAGAGAAATGTGATTCTCAATGATCAACAGGTATCAAGGATCAATAAATAAGACTTTGGATTATTTAATGCATATCTCGTTAAGGTGGAATGGATTATAATGGTTTCGAGAATGTCTAGTCAAATTTTACAAGCAAGTTGTAGTTTTGTTAGTTTTTCGTAGCAATAATTCTCTCTTATTATAGTAGATCTTGTGAAATCTTAAGATATTTATTATAAAAATGATTGAAATTATAAGGATAAATTGTACGATGATTATTTAATAACCAACATGTAACTACTTACATTTCAATATAGATTTGTAAAATTAAATAAATATTTCAAAAACAATTGAGTTAATATATAAAAAATATATATAATTCATTTATAATCTATGATAGGAAAAAAAATAACTTAGGAAAATAGGTTTATTTTTTATTTTAAATACCATTTTGCTTATCTATGTATGCTATTCACATTTAATCTAAAGAACTCCAATAATGTATTTATAATTATAAATGGAAAATGCGACAAGAGTCTTTAGAGTATAATTTTTATCCAACTTATTTCTGAAGAAAAAAAATTACAAGAGCTATTTGAAATAAAAAATAAAAATAAATGCTTATATTTAAAAACTCAAAATATATTATATCAATACAGAAATCTATATTATTGATTTCTTAACTTATTACTATCATTTTAATTTATNCGGATTCTCTAGTCGATGATTCAACTTGATCCTTCGGCTTAATAGACACTATTTCCTCCTTATCAGTAATCGGTGGCGCAAACGCATTCTTGTTTTTATCATCTTTTATTGGTACAAGCGTATCTTTCTTGTCTTCTTGTTCAGTAGGCTTCTTTTCTCTGTCATTTTTAGTTGGCACCGGCTTTTGAATAGCTATCGATTCAACCGGTTTCGGGATTGTTTGAGTTACATTTTCTTGTATTTTGTTATTTGATGCGGTTTCAGATGTATGTAATGGATCTTTTTTATCATCTGGTTTATTCTTTTTGTCATCATGTTTAACTGGCGCAGGCTTTTGAGTGCTCGTCGATTTATCCGGCGTAGGGGTGTCCGTCGATTTGTCGGGCTTAAGGGTTGTTAGAATCACATTTGTTTGTGTCTTGTTATTTGAATTGGTATTCCCTAATGATGGAGATGGATCCTTTTTATTTTTTTTGCTATTTGTTTCTGAACCTGTAATAAATCAAATGTTTAATTATTACATATTTATTTTTAATAAATAAATAAGTTTTATACAGGGTGAGTCATTTTAATCAACGCACGCAAATATCTCGTAAAGTAAGCAAGATGGAAAAAAATGTTTTATACAAAAGTTGTAGGGTTCAGAGGGGGACACATGATGAAAATATGGACTTGACCTTGAGTGACCTTTTCAAGGCCAACTCAATGTGATCAATATTTTCTTAAGTGGAACCCCGCATTTTTTATTGCATATTCTTGTAGCTTATCTCGAAAGCTTTTCAAAACACTATAATAAAGTATTTTTTCATTAAGTACTTTTTGAGTTATTTTATATTTTAATCTGACATATTTTGATATAAAAATTAAAATATCTCGTAAAATATTTAGTTTTCAATAATCTTACCGTAACACTTTTATGTACAGAATAATGAGACAAATCAATTAGTGTAAAAAATATAATTGTTTTTAAGAAAAAGTATGTAATTATTTACAATGAATTTTTTTAAACAATTATTTGTTTTT